CTTGTTGTTCCCTTGTCCCTGGGTTTGTTAACACCACTTCCTTTCCCCCCACCTCCTCCTCTACCATGTCCCCCTGGAAAAATTTGTTCTTTGTCATTGGTTTGTTGTTGTTGCTGTTTTGTTGTACATGGTTGCTTGGTTTTGCTCTGTCTTGTTTTTGTGCATGTTATTATCTCCACAGATCTCCCTAAATAAGACAGGCTGGATGAACAATCTGGAGGAGAAAACAACGAGAACTTTTTTTTTCTAGTGTAGCAAATCAAATATTAGACAATGCAACACTTATAAGCGCTTAGTTTAGGATAATTGGTATCAAATCACATCAAAGTCTCCATTGTGGAATCATACATATTAAGTTTGGGCTAGAAATAATTGTTAGAGTAAGGGTGAGAAGATGGAGCATGGATAATCTTTTCTTGTCTTCTCACAGAATAGCATTAAAATAGTAAGTTGATTGGGTCTCTTTAAAGATTCCTTTTGGTGCTGTCATTCTGCTTCTGAGAGATTGGGTTTTTTCTGACCCTCTGTCTTCCTTGCTAAGTCAGCTGTGTGCACTCGGGAAAGGGCAATAAGATGATCTTAAACTTTTCCAAAATGGTGGTGGTGGTGGTTGTTTCCTAGTGCTGAGCTATCGTTTTTTCTATTCACAAGCCTCCACCAGCTACAGAGGGCAACAGGAAGACTTACCTGTGTCTATGGAGGGTCTCAGGACAGGGAGTGGGGAAGAACAGGTCTTGCCTTGCATAATTCACTGTCTGGAAACGGAAGGAGGAGTCTCACAGGTCCAGGGATCCAAACACATGAAATATTTGCAAGATAGAGGATAGAGATCAAGAGACCCTTAGACATGGGGAGTTTTTATGTCTTTGATTTATGATATATACTATATATGTGTATATATATATATATATATTCCCCCAATAGTTTTATTGGCATAGAATTCTCATATCATACAATTCAATAGTTCAGTCACATCAAGAAGAATTGTATAGTCATTACCACAATCCGTTTTAGAACATTTTCTTCATTCTTGTACTCATCATTATTAGCTCCCCATTTCCCCTCAACCTTCCCTGCCATTGCTCCACCAAACCAAAAACCAAACTCACTGCCAGCGAGTCAATTCTGACTCATGGTGATGCTATAGGATAGAGTGGAACTGCCCCTGTGTTTCTGAAACTAACTCTTTACAGGAGTAGAAAGCCCCATCTGTCTCCCTCAGAGTGCCTGGTGGTTGTAACAAGCTTGCGGATTGCAGCCCAACGTGTAACCACCAATTCAGTTACTGTCTCTGTAGATTTACCTATCCTGGATTTTTTTTTCCCTATTCTGGATTTCTTATACAGAAAAACATTAACAAACAAAAACTAACAAGAACGAGAAAGCAAAACAGATAAAAATCTCGATAGAAAAGCAGAAAATAGTAAAAACTAGAACAAATTTAAATGAATCATAAGGGAGCTCAAATGATAGGGTGCTAAATTTTAACCCAACTGCATCTACAGCAACCCTCTTCAATGCGCTCTGCACATTAGCAAGGCTATTCACATCCCTGCTCCAGGATCAGAGGGGATCTACATTTATTAAAAAACAAACAGCTTTAAAATGGATCAAAAGATAGATCAAATGATAAGATAGTACATTTGGCCTAATTACTTCTGGCATAATGGACTTTGCAATGAATGCTCTCTGCCTCACTGGAGGGGATTCACCAGAGGCTTCATGCATGTGTGGACCTGATGCCATTCCCTCCTATAGATGTGGATTATAGTATTTACAATCTTTGGATCACACAGCTGGTATACTTCTTTAGTGTGGTGGACTTAGTTGACACCTCACTTAGATGGTTGTTTATTTGAAAACAACCCTTTAAGACCTCAGATGTAGTGCTCAACTAGAAAGCAGATGTTTTGAGAATGATGAGGGCAACAAATGTACAAATGTGCTTGACACAATCAAATGTATGTATGTATTGTGATAAGAGTTATATGAGCCCCCAGTGAAATGATTTTTTTAAAAAAGACCCCAGATGCTATTCTTTCTGGTAAGTAGGCACCATCCCATGTCTTCACACTCTGCTATTGCACCCATGTCTTCAGTGATCTCTTCATGGGGTGAACATCAAGCAGGGCTATGTCATAGGAACTAATTGTTCTTAGATTAGGGCTAAATTACGTATGCAACATATATTTAATGCAGACCTGGTATGGGTCCTGGCTAGACACCCTTAGTGAACCAAACAGATGTGGTGCCACCTCTCAGCTTAGTGGACATTTATAAATCTCCAAATTTGAAGATACTACCATGGTTGGTATACCAATTACTCTATCAGATGCATAAAATGGAAAAATGAATGTAGCCATCTTCTGTATACTCGGGTTTTTTCAAACCATACGTGCATATAACTTTTAATGGATTTTTTATTGTGAATGGGGTGGTGTACATCAGACTAGCAGTTCTGCATTCAACAGTTCAAATCACTCAGCCACCCTTACGCCCACATCTCACTTTTTTTCCCCAAATCATTTTATTAGGTGCTAATCTATATGTCATGTCATGCCATAGTTCAGTCTCATCAAGCAGTTTGTACAATTGCTTCCACAATCAGTTTCAAAGCATTTAATTCCTTGAATTCCTTGATATCAGCTCTGTTCCACATATCACTTTCCAATCAAAACATTCCCTTTTCAATTCTTAAGGTTTTACCTCTCACGTGATAAGCAATCCCCACCCCACAACCTGGCTCATCTTCTAGCTGAAAATCATTACAACAGCTAGTTTTTGTTTATTTTTTGGTATAAAATCCTAGTCAGGATTTAAGACAGCTGAACTCTCTTGCCTTTGCTCAAGTATCCATCAGCAGACACTGATACCTGAGTAGTGACAGTGTTACATTGTCATGACAGGTCTGTTCTTTTCTTGTTATTATTATTTTTAATGCTGATCTTGAATCACTCAGTTAATTTTGCAATCTATGAAAGAGTCACGATCATAGTTTAAAAGATAGCCCTGTATTGGATTGATCTGTCATTGCCTTACTATCATCTTGAACAGTTCTCCGAACTTGAATGCTTGGGGATGACTTAAATGACTTTGAAGACCCTTCTAGTTCTAACCCCTCATATTTGCATAGCAATTTGTAGTTTAAAAATGTTAACTCACCTGCAGATTCTGCAAACGAGCATGAAGCTATTCTAGGATAGGTGCTCCTCCTTTATGTTCCCATAATGTTATCTTATGTGCTCTGATAAATGCTTCATTGTGTTGCTGTTTTATGCACTCCCACTCCCTCCTTACCCTGGGAGTCAGGGACCATTTCTTACTAGTTCATCATACATAGAGGTTGCTCAATAAGAATTTGTTGAAAGAAGGTAGAGAGGAGTGAGGAATGGCTTTCCAGCAAGAAAGCTAGATTCCAAAGTGAAATATCATGAATGGCCTTAAATTTATTTGCTCACAGTCAAGGAGGCTAGGAGTCTGAAATCAAAGTTCAGGCTCTAGAGGAAGACTCTCTGTGAGCTCTTTGTCTCCTTTCAACACCTGTGGGCCCTGAGTTTGACATGTGTCTTGGTTCTCAACCTTCCTAATGCCACGACCCTTTCATACAGTTCCTCATGTTGTGACCACCACCCACCCACCAACCATAAAATTCTTTTCTTTTCTTTTTTTTAATCATTTTATTAGGGACTCATACAACTCTTATCACAATCCATACATACATCAATTGTGTAAAGCACATTTGTGCATTCATTGCCTTCATCATTCTCAAAACATTTGCTCTCCACTTAAGCCCCTGGCATCATAAAATTATTTTCATTGCTACTTCATAACTGTCATTTTGACTGTTATAAATGGGGTGACCCCTGTGAAAAGGTTGTTCGACCCCACCCCCCAAAAGTTCTCATAGCCGGGATCCCAGGTCCAAGGGACATGCTCCACTCCTGGCTATTTTTTTAGAATGAGACGCTGATCTCCAAGGAAATTTCCCTTACTTCAGATCAGGGCCAGGACCTAAGTAAGGATGTTGCCTTAGACCCCTCCCTTATAACCCATGGCTTGGTCACTTGGGTGGTGATTACATCATTTCATTCATGACAGTTAAATCAGTGATTGGGAATTTAGGACAATGTGGAGACAGAACACAGCGTATGTAGACCCCTGCAAGATGTTAGACAAAAGATGAAGGGGCAATGAAAGTGTGAGGATAGAAGGGAGAAGACCAGTGTAGTCCCCATAGCAGACATGTGGAGGGACACATCACAGGGAGATCACCGTGGAGGGGAGGTGTTCTTGCCTCCCTCCCATGATACTGTGCTGTCCGTCGTGCCCTCGTGTGGAAGGCAGTTGTTTCTTGTTTTTGTTTTTGTCTTAAATCATTTTAATAGGGGCTCATACAGCTCTTATCACATTCCATACATACATCAATTGTATAAAGCGCATTTATACATTCATTGCCCGCATCATTCTCAAAACATTTCCTCTCCACTTAAGCCCCAGGCATTAGGTCCTCATTTTTCCCCTCCCTCCCCGTTGCCCCTTCCCTCATGAGCCCTTGATAATTTATAAATTGTTATTTTGTCATATCTTGCCCTGTCCGACGTCTCCCTTCACCCACTTTTCGGTTGTCCAGCCCCCAGGGAGGGGGTCACATATAGTTCCTTGTAATTGGTTCCCTCTTTCCAACCCACTCTCCCTCTACCTTTCCAGTATTGCCACTCACTCCACTGGTCCTGTAGGGATCGTCCGCCCTGGATTCCATGTATTTCCAGTTCCTATCTGTACCAGTGTACATCCTCTGGTCTAGCCAGACTTGCAAGGTAGAATTTGTGTCATGATAGTGGGAGCGGGAGGAAACATTTAGGAACTAGAGGAAAGTTGTATTTTTCATCGTTGCTACATCGCACCCTGACTGGCTCGTCTCCTCCCCGAGACCCCTCTGCAAGGGGATCTCCAGTGGCCTACTAATGGGCTTTGGGTCTCCATTCCGCACTCCCCCCATCATTCACTATGGTAAGATTTTTTGTTCTGATGATGCCTTATACCTGATCCCTTCGGCACCTCGTGGTTGCATAGGCTGGTGTGCTTCTTCCATGTGGGCTTTGTTGCTTCTGAGCTTGATGGCCGCTTGATTACCTTCAAGCCTTTAAGACCCCAGACGCTATACTTTTTGATAGCCGGACACCATCAGATTTCTTTGCCACATTTGCTTATGCACCCATTTGTCTTCAGCGATCAGTTCGACACCTCGTGATCACACAGGCTGATAGGTTGTTCCATGTGGGCTTTGTTGCTTCTGAGCTAGATGGCCGCTTGTTTTACCTTCAAGCTTTTAAGACCCCAGGCGTTGTATCTTTTGATAGCTGGGCACCATCAGCTTTCTTCACCACATTTGCTTATGCACCTGCTTTGTCTTCAGGGGTTGTGTCGGGAAGGTGAGCATCATAGAATGCCAATTTAATAGAAGAAAGTCTTCTTGCATTGAGGGAGTACTTGAGTGGAGGCCCAATGTCCTTCTGCTACTTTAATACTAAACCTATAAATACAGGCACATAGATCTATTTCCCCATCCTCATATAAATATATGTGCATATGTACATGTCTTTATCTAGACCTCTATAAATGCCCTTTGCCTCCCAGCTCTTTCCTCTATTTCCCTTGATTTTCCTCCTGTCCCACTATCATGCTCAGTCCCCACCAGGGTTTCAGCACTTCCTCTTTGTTATGTTCCCCTTGATCCTGCCCTACCAGGTCTCCCACACCCACCTCCCCACCAATTTGGATCGCTTGTTGTTCCCTTGTCCCTGGGTTTGTTAACACCTCTTCCCTTCCCTCCACTTCCCCCTCTCCCACGTCCCCCCGGAACTGTCAGTCCCATTGTTTTCTCCTCCAGATTGCTCATTCAGCCTGTCCTATCCAGACAGACCTGCAGAGACAACAACATGCACAAAAACAAGACAGAGCAAAACCAAGCAACAATGTACAACAAAACAGCAACAACATCAAACCACTGACAAAGAACAAATTATAACATACCAAAAAAGAAAAGCTTGTAGTTAGTTCAAGGATCGCTGGCCTTTAAGAGTGTTTTCCAGTCCAGCCTGTTGGGGCACCACGCCCTGTCCCCAAAGTCCACCCTCATCATTCCCTGGGGATCTTGCTGCTCCCCTCCCCTGCTGTTCTGCTGCCCTCCCCGAGTGCTATGCCTCAGTGTGGCGGCGTCAGATCAGGTGCAATTCCCAAACTGTGTCTCTGGTGTTGTCCCCCGCAGGGCCATGGGTCAGTGAGGGGCATCATGTCTCATAGTGGGGCTGGCCATGTGGTCCTGTCTGTGGACTGGCTGCTCTAGTTAGGGTCATCGTCCTCAAGGCCTGGTGGGCCAGGATATGCTCCAGTCTCTCCTCCTCCCCGGTCATCAGCTCCTGTGTGCTCTGGTCAGATATATCCTTCTCCCGGAGCTGCGGATTTAGTGCCATCCTTTGAAATAACTTCTTCTCGGGGGAGAGGCAGGCATCCACTTAGTATTTGGGACTGGGCCCAGCCCCCCAGACCTCTCCACAAGGCAGTTGTTTATAATGCATAATGCTTTCATGGTAACCCTCCTACTGCTAACATTTTATGATTTATACTTAGTGATTTGCATCGATTTTATTCCTTGATAGAAAATGCCCGGGATGCTTTCTTGAAGGCAGTAATTATATTCTTGGAGTGTGCAATCAACTGGATACTGGTCCTTACTTGTGTGTGGTTCAACAAATCCTTCAATTGTATAATTTGATCATTTTATACAAGTATCAACTATACCCTCCTGATTATCTTTTATTTGTGAATTATCTAATTTGCCTTAACCTAAAGTTCTTGGTGATTTATGTTTTAGTTGTGGGAATCCCCAGACCATGTTGGGTTCCAGACAGTATGTGAGCTTCTCCACCATGTGGGGGGTACAGTCTTGCCATCTGAAATGTTCAGCCAAGATATCCCCGAAGATGGGCAAACGCTGCTCAGCAGGGAGAGAAAGCGATCAAGTCCACCTCACCGCTCTTCGTGGATTTCAGCTTTACCAACTGATTCCACTTTGAACTGCTTGCTTTACAATGCTCGTGAATATGAAGCATCATTTCCATGGGTAGAAGGAACATTATTTCTCCCTGTTAAAGGTAAGCAAATAATAACTGCAAGGATTGTCTGGTTTTATTAACATTAGTTTCTTCAAGGCAGGCCTGTGCTTTTAACGTCTGTAGCATTTCCAGCCACTTTAAACACTCAAATAATGCATACCATTAGAAGAATTAAAAGATGTACCATAGGAAAGAATTGAATATTGCCGGCTGCAGGTATAAATAGAAAATGTCAGTGATTTTGAAGAGTTTCCCCACTTATTCTTAAAGAAGAATGACATATGTTCAGATACTCAAGCAGATGGGTATAATATTTCCTTGCCTTCCTTGTAGTTCCTAATAACTGAAGGCATTAGGGAAGCAATGATTTGACTAGGACAATAAATTTATCTACAGAAGCCAAAAATGATGCAAGTTATAAGATCAGCACGTTAGAATCTTGATAAATTTGTTGATTTATAATTTACTCTATGGGTGAACCCCATTTCTGAATATATTATCTTTTCATAGAGAAGTAATACCATATAGAGATGTAAAATAAAAACTAGCACATCATGTACACGTTAAGAAATTTTCAAGAGTAATTTTATTTAGGTAATTTCCATTATACACATGATGTTAGAACTTAACTTCTTCATAAGATATGCACTGTGGTTTATGGATTTAAGAAATGATGTCTTTGTTTTTGTTTTTGTTTTTTTTTAATGATGTCTTATATTTTATAGCAAAGAACTATTACCTGGATACTTATTTCTAAGTCATAATTATTAAGTTGTAGTATCAAGGTGTACCTTTATAAATCCTTTTGTATACAGCTCTTCTTAAAGAAGCACTATAAGGTCTGACATGAACTATGATAGTACCTCAACTGACAATTTTATTATTATTATTACTATTATTATTTTGCTTCTTGTCATTAATCTACTTTTTGATTCATATAGTATGAGGCACTGATGGTTCTTAGGTAGCATCTGGAGGTTCATGTGGTAAACCCGAGGTACATTCTGACCAGTGTCCGTGGAAGCTTTTATGTTATGATGCTGACCAGATTACAGCAGTTTTCTTACATTACAATTTGAATACTTTGATCTAACAGGCAAAGAGATTCAAGAAGCATGCACAGTCACCCTTGAGCCCTTGACCATGAATCAGAACCATTTTCAGAAGCCTGTCAGGATTGTTCTAAAGGGCACGGCTGCCCACTGGACGCTCCCAGTGAGTGGCACTTTGGGCACTGATAGCTGGATGCTCCGGAGTCCTGAGCAAGACAGATCAAACCACAAGTTGTTTCAGCAGCTGACAAGTAGGCTGACTGCTGAAGAGTTGCATTTGGTAGGTAGCCTCCAGGTGGTAAGTTATTTCTGTCTAGTGGTTACTAGTGACGTGAAATGAGGGGATTTGATTTGTAAATTCCAAGAAATCCCTGGTCTTATTTTCCTAGTACTGCTCTAACAGAAATCTCACAAATGATTGACTTTAAAGAACATTTATTTTCTCACAGGGCCTCGGCTATGTTGATTCCTTCTGTGAACCTTTCTCTTAGGACCTGGTGTCTGCTCATGAGTGATCCTGGGCATCCTTTTGCTTGTCGCAGACTCACGTGTCATCCGTCTTCCCCTGTGTGTCTGTGTCTCTGTTCTGGCCTTTCATACCTCAGAAGGGATTTGGGTTAGTGATCCACTATCTGCTGGTTGTGACCTACTGCATTGACATAACAAAAGTAGAACCCTGTCTCCAAACATCACATCTACAGGAACAGGGGTTAGGAATTCAACACATTTTGAGGGACGTAAGTCAATTCATAACAGCCCTCCATAATGCAGTCTCAGTGGAGCTGATGATTTGGGTAGGGGGTGGTGCAAATGATGTTATCTATATTGTATTGTGACCAAAAATGACTTATTAGTGAGGAAACTATTCATAAAATGGATTGTGCTCTGAATAGAAATTATTAAATTACATTCACCTAAGAAAAAGGGAAGTGGGCCATGTGGAGTGGTTATGTTAGGGTGGTGGAGTTATTGGTGACTGCTTGTTTTTTAAATGTTCTGTGATAGCTGTACTACTTTTGTAATATACTCCATTTAAGAAAACGCTACAGCATTGTAAAATTAGAGTAGTGTTGAAGCTTTGCATAAACTTAGAAAATGCCCTTTGGAAAAGAACACATACGTACACAGAGCTGACCTAAAGATAAACATGGTGATTCCTTTTAATCTGCCAGCTAATTCCGTACCTTGGTTTGTTTCTTGCCTCTGTAATCTCAGTTTGCGTCTGTACCCTGGATCCCACTGTGAAGCACTCCGGCTGGGGAGTCAGAGATCCAGATGAGGGAGGGTCTGACCTCTGCTGCCCACTCTGTAATCTTGGTTAAATCACTTGGTGGTTGTACTGCTTCCTGGTTAAGAGAGAGAGAGAGAGAGCGCCTATACTTGGGCAGCAGGTGCTCTTGGTCCTTGCTCCTTACCATCTGGGTCATCTAAAACAGGATACTATACTTATTAAGCTCAATTCCTTCTCTGTAAAATGTGGGTGATAAGAGTCATGAACGGGGGAGGGAGGGGGAAGAAATAGGGAGCTGATATGAGGGGCTCAAGTGGGAAGAGAATGCTTTGAAAATTATGTTGGCGGCATATATGCAAATGTGCTTGACACTGGATGAATGTATGGATTGTGTTAAGAGATGTAAGAGCCCCCAATAAAAGTTTTTTTTTTTTAAAAGTCATGAGCGTTCAGGGAGTTTAAACAAGCATGTAACAAGGGCTCAGTCAATATTCCTGGTAACCTTGTATGTTCCTTATTGGTAACTCCTATCCCTGAGAACCATCAAGTTCTCCTTTTATGTCAGCCATCGTTAGGAAAAGGATCCTTCTGTCTTTTCCTTGGCTACTTTCTGCATTGGGCATTATTGACAACAACATTTTCAACTAATGAGGGTTTCTTACATAGGTGGCCAGTGTGGATCCTGGTGAAGGTTGGCCCCCTGTCACCGGGGTTATTTCCCCGCTCTCCGCCAGTGCCGCAGTTCTCACTGTCCTCCTCTCGGAAGATGCTGAATTTCAAAGACATTATCTCCAAAGGGGTATGGCAGAGAGCTCCCAGGATACAACTTCCCTTTTGTCTTATATCGAAAATGATGTAATGAAGCAGATTCATAATCCGCTTGAAGAGCCTGCTGTTCCTGGTAAGCTTCTGAAGTAATAGCTATCGTATCGTGGGTAGCAGTTTACAGTTTTCTCCAGCACCAGAACTTCTCCCCGCCATGTACTACTTAGTAGAATCTCAGTACTTTGTAAAACAGATAAAAGCAAACTGTAATACTCCAGGCCAATTAAATCATTACTTAGCGAGAATCTGAAGCACTTTTGAGGAGGAGGCGTAAGACTTTGTAAAACCAGTTTAAAGTCAAAGTTGGAAGGTGAACCCTGGTTTTAAATGAATTTAGTAAAGACTGAATAAAAGGAGTATTAGTGGCACAGCAATCGAAATGCTTGGCTACTAATGGGCAAATCAACCCTTTGATAAGTGTCTGCAGTGTTTGAGGTTGAGCAAGGCAGCCTGTGTGGCTGACAAAGGAACAAAGAGGAGACTGGTCGGAAGCGAGGTCAATTGCATGTAGAATCACGATTCATGACCCAAGTAGAGCAGGGCAAAATGCTGCCTAGTCCTGTACCAGCCTCACCATTGTTGCTGGTTGAACTCATTGTGACCACAGTGTTAATTCATCTGGTTGAGTCTTTCTCTTTTTTGTGAACCCGCTACCAAGCATGCTGTCCTCCACAGTCTCCTGTTAAACTTGCCCAAACGTGAGAGAACTAAGGTAAGGTGACCAGACGTCCCACTTCTGGCGGGACAGTCCCGATTTTTAACAATTTTTCCTGTGTCCCGTGGTGTTTTTAAGAAGTCCCGATTTTTGGAAAGAATGCACGACAAGCTAGGGTATACGGTTTTTGGCTGCCATGTGGCTATTTCGCCAGGATATGAGTTTTCTCAATCGTGTCCCGCTTTTGTCCCGCTTTACCAATGTTAAAATCTGGTCACCTTAATCTAAGGGGATCTAGAATTTTATCGTCTCAGAATGGTTTTTGAAGACTTAAGCACACCAAAGCTGTGAGAGCTGGAATACAATGGAACTGCCTTCTTTTTCTGGGCCTCACAAACTTGGACAGGGTGCAGTCTTACCACTTCCTTATCACTTGTTTTATTGTTTTATTTTCCTATCACTTGTTTTAGTAGAACAGATTTGAATTTTCCTTTTCTTTCTTTTTTTAAATCATTTTATTGGGAGCTCATAAAATTCTTATCACAATCCATATGTACGTCCATTTTGTCAAGCACATTTGTACATTTGTTGCCATCATCATTCTCAAAATATTTGCCTTCTACTTGAGCCCTTAATATCGGCTCCTCATTTTCCCCCTTCCTCCTTACTCCCCCTACCTCATGAACCCTTCATAATTCATAAATTATTACTTTGTCATATGTTACACTGTCCAACGTCTCCTCCCGCCCTCTTCTTTGCTGTCCATCCCCCAGGGAGGAGGTTATACATAGATTCTTGTAATCGGTTCCTCCTTTCCACCCCACATTCCCTCCACCCTCCAGGCATCGCCACTCTCACCACTGGTCCTGAAGGGATCATCTATCCTGGATTCCCTGTGTTTCCAGTTCCTATATGTACCAATGTACATCCTCTGGTCTAGCCAGATTTGTAAGGTAGAATTGAGATCATGATAGTGGGGGCGGGGGTGGGGGGGCATTTAAGAACTAGAGGAAAGTTTTATGTTTCATCGTTGGAATTTTCCTTTTCTAATGCATGTCCATCCTTGTCTAGGTTCAAACTTTCTTGAGCTTTGCTGAACTTGGCTTCTTTCTTTTCATAGACTAGCCAAACTTATATCACTTCCTATGTGGAGTCTTGGGTGGGCCTCAGGGTCCCTGAGTTTACTGAAATTTCTATTACTGTTGTTCCCATAATCTGACTTGTTCTGCGAGTACACGTATACCCCATAGCACAATGCCAAGTCTTACGATCTCAAGTCTAACCGCTTGGTGTAACCAGCCTCTAAACTCATTACCATCAAATAGAGTCCAACTCACAATGACCCTATAGGGTAGGGTAGAACTTCCTGGGTTTCCAAGACTTCGTCTTTCTTCCACAGAGGGACTGGACTGGCAGTTTCGAACTGCTGGCCTTGCGGTTAGTGGCCCAATAAATTCTGCCGTTTTATGCTGCTATACTATTGTGTTATTCTTGTTCAGTTTAGTTCTGTTGCCATTATGCACCAGTTCAACATGTTTTTACATGTACAATTTTGTGACAGGGAGCACATCTTTAAGTTGACCAGTTGTTCTCACCCTTTTCTGAATTAATCCTCCCCCATTAACACACGTTCTCTGCCCTTTAAGATTCAATTGTTTGTGTTAACTTTTTCTTTTACTAGTTCAGCTAGACTATTATTTGGCTTTAAGAATTCAGAAGGTATTTTTGGCTTAATAGTTTCGGAGGCTCACCTCACCTTCATGGGTCCTGGAAGTCTAGAATCTTGGTATATTTGAAATTCTGTTATTCTTTGCCCGTTTTGACTAGAATCCTCTGATTAAAAGGCTTCAGTCCGCATTGGTAGCCAGACATCATTTCAGTCCTGCTGTCATGGTAAAAGGGGCAGTTGTTCGTGCAGACATTAGCTACACATTTACTTCGTCCTCTTATTCCTGACTCTCCTCCTGTTGTCCCAAATGAATTGTGACTTAGTTGACCATGAAGATGTCAGACATTACACAATGAAGTAAAAAATAGAACAGAAGCACTAAACATGGTGTTAGGCTAAGGTGACCAGATTTTAACATTGGTAAAGCAGGACACCATTGATAAAACTCATATCCTGGCAAAATAGCCACACGGCAGCCGAAAACCGTATTCCCTAGCTTGTGCATTCTTTCAAAAAATCGGGACGTCTGGTCACCTTAATTAGGCCACATACCTGGGATGTCCCATGAAACCATGTGCATAGCTTATTGACAGCAATTGCAATGATCGACTCTGTACCTCTACCCTTAATCTGTCACTTTTCCAACACTGTTAGCCCTCTCTCTTTCCTGCCCCTGGTAGCCATTAGTAAAACTTTGGTCTCTGTAGATAAATGAAGTCATATAATATTTGTCCTCTTGTAATTGGCTTATTTCACTCCGTTCCATCCATATTGCAGTACGTTTGTTCAAGACTTCGTTTCCCCTGGCTGAGCAGTACTCTGGTGTATATAGTACTACAATCTGTTGATCCATTCAACTGTTGATGGCCATTTAGATTGTTGCTTCCTTCGGGCTCTTGTGACTGGTGCTGTGCTGAGCAGTGGTTTACAGTTCTCCAAGTCTCTGCTTTCTAGTCCTGGGCGTGTATGCCAACGAGTTGAATTGCTGGGTCATTTCCTAGTTGTTTTTTACTTTTATTAGCTTTTATTTTAAGCGTAATTTATTCGTAAGCCACAAGTTTTTGTTTCTTTGGTTTCTTATAGGCGATCCTTTTCTTTTGTGCAACCTCCTTTTCTGGTTTAGGAACACTTTGTTCCCGTTCAGTCCGGATCATTTCAGTGTGGCAGGGGGAGCTCATGTATGCATTGATCCGACCATGAGCTCTGTAAGTCCGGTGGCACATCTTGGGGACATTGTTCACCTGAATGTGCTCAATGACCAGAGAACCACATCTAAACCCTTAAGTTCAGCATTACTCGCTGCATTTTTAACCATATGCAGCAAAAATTCACTCTTTGGGGGCCTCCAACCCCACTGTTTGGCCTGGACACACACACCCACTTCACCGTTGTAACGTTGGAAAGGCACACACTGCTTCTGCAAAGTGACATCTTGCAAATACTTGGTGGCTTTCCAAATATGCGTACCTTTGATGGCCTGCACAGTTTCATGGGTGTTCTTAGAAATGGACCCAAAGATTCGAACCTCTTCCTTTTCTAATTTTCTAATTTCCCTTTCAGATTTATCACTGCAGGTATTTAGAAACCCAGCTGATTTCCATTTGCTGCCCTTGTACCATGCAACTTTGCTCAATTCTATTAGTTCTAAATCTTTTTTGTAGACCCTAGGATTTTCTGTCTATTGGATTATATCCATGAATAAAGATGATAGCTTTTTATTCTTTTATTGCTCTGGCTAGAACTTCTAATACGATATTGAACAGAAGAATGAACACTACTGCCTTGTTCCTGATTTTAAGGGGAATATTCTGTGTTTCTCCACTAACTATAATGTTGGTGTTGCTTTTTCATCTATACTCTGAATTATGTTGAGGGCTTTCCCTCCTATTCCAGTCATCTTTAGGGTTTTCCTCAGAAAGGACATTGGATTTCATCTAATGTGTTTTCTGATTCCATGGAGAGGATCATGCAGTGCTTTTCCTTTGTTCTGTTGCTGTTACTTTGATGTGGACTCATCCTGCATTCCTAGAATAATGCCACTTGGTCACAGCGTATTGCTCTTCTACTGTGCTGTTGGACTCTTCGCTAGGGTTTTGTTGCGGAATTTTAAATCTGTGTTCGTAAGAGATTGTGACCTCTTCTTGTGGTTTCTTTAGCTTGGGGATCAGGGTTATGTTTGCCTTGTAGAATAAATTAGGACAAGTTCTTTCCTTCTTTGTCTTTTGGAAGTGTTTAAATAGTATTAGTGGCAGTTCTATAAATGTTTGGTATCATTCCCAGGTGAAGCCATCTGGTCCAGGACTTTTTTGGGGGGTTGGAGAGTTTTTGATCTCAGCTTGTTATTAGTCTGTGTATACTTTCTAGTACCTCTTGAGTCAGTTTGGGTAGGTTGTATGCTTTTAAGAATTTATCCATCTCATTTAGGTGAGCCAATTTGTCACATGACAGTTCATTATATTGTCATAATTCTTTATGTCTCTTGGATCAGTTATAATACATACTATATATTCTTATATTAAAGCTACTTTTAAGGGGTACATAAGAAAACAACTTATTTGTATGATATCAGAAGTAAGATGATGGGATATGTTGCCAATAACAAGAACGAAGACTTTAAATTTCTGGAATAGAATTTCTCATAAACCACATAGGGTTTGGAGTTTGTCGTGCAGATAAATTGTTCATGGTGCCTCTTTGTGTATGCTTTGGAGGAAAGCACTGCAGGGGAGGAACAGATGCACAGGATGCTCTCATTTGGTTTTAAAGCTCCCACGCCCCTTGACCCTTTGTTCCCTGTAGCTCCTGTACCAGAATGGACCCAGCAAGAGCTTGGCTGCACTGCTCCCTGGAGTGCAGCTGTGGTGGAGAAGTGGTTTCCTTTCTCTAACCTCAATGGTGCCAGTTCGAATTTAATGGAATCATTCTGGTAATGCTTTTTTTTAATGTCTGCACATTAGTTATTACAATCAATTCTCAGTTATCTGCCTTTCTTAACAAACCATACTCTCTAACTACAGTAAAACATATTAAATACTATTTACAAAAATGAATCATTCAAAAAAAATTCCTGGGTACCAACCACTGTTGCTTTTAAACATTTTATGCATTATTGTTTTAATCCCTTTTTTATATTGTTTTTTGCTTTTAAACGTTTACTTTTAACCATTTCATACATACTGTTTTAATACATTTTTATATTGAGGTCTTACATAGTATAATGAGACAAGAAAAAGAAATTAGATATTAGGAAGTATTTGAGGAGGGCTTTCCTATGAAGACAATCATAACAAAAGATTATATACATGATTTAACTGATAAGAAAATTCAGCAGTGTTGATGGATTTAAAAGTCAATAGTATTCCTATATGCTATCTACAACCATTAAAGAAAAAGATAAAGTATATATGTGCTCTTGGCCATGAATAAAGAGCTAAAAACCAGACAGATACACTTTCCACCATTGGCTCTCAAGATGTGTCATCAAGTTGTAGTCAGGGGCATGTGGTATTGGAGAAGGGCTGAGCCATCCCCACAGTGGGGTTCCAAGCCCCTCGGTCCATGCTCCTACCACACAAGAGGACCGTGTACCTTCTTTACCCTCTGAGTAAGCCAGCAATCACACTTCACATTTGCATCGTCTGCTCAGTCCTTTGGTGAGTGTTACAAAGAGGGTGGTCTCCCGAGAACATATATTTTGAAAGGCATCTTGTGAGGACACTTTGATTGACTTAGAAAAGCAAAGCAGGGAAATCAGAATTTGGCTTCATAGGACACATCTTGCTTTGTTCACAGGTTACTTCAAGCTGCCTCCGCTCAGAAGGACGAGTCCTGCAAAACTGAACATGAAGTGACATGTTGTCTCTCCGAGTTCTACCAGAGAAAATCTCGTGAAGAGTCTGCAGCCGTTGGTCAGGGCGACAGCAGGAGAAAACGTATGACTCAGAATGGCTGCTGCTTGCGGCAGTCTTTTTATCAGCGTTTAAATTTCAACCATGTGCATTGCCCTGAAATGGAAACTGAATAGAGAAGGAGAAATTCTCAAATTTCAAAGTTGAAAATAGGTTGCCACAACATTGATAAGAAATCACCTATTATCCTACCTTCTTAATGAATAAGCCATTTTCATTTTCACTTCAATAGAAATTTAAATATGGCTTTGTAGTTGCTTGTAAATATTTATCTGCTGCCCTACCTTATTATCAGCCTTTTTGCTTGACACGGTTTATTATTTCCTAAGGTTACACATTTATTTTAAAATTTTATATTATAAGTAATAGCACAAAGTGCATCAATACATACAGTCTTTCATGAGTGATTTCCTTAAGACAAGTTTCCTGGAACAGGTTACTGTGTTAACCAGTATGAAAAAAGTGACTCTGGTCCAGATTGCTACATTATGTTTCAAAAGAGTTTCATGACAATCCTGTGGCCCTTAGGTAACATCAAAATACATCTTTCCTGAATTTGCCTTACATCAAATCATCTCTTTTATTTAAAAGAAAAATCATCTCTTTAAAGACAAGAAGAAGAAAAATCTCATTACATTAAGATGTGTAATTTCTAAACTTCAATTAGAAGCACTATGGGTAGAAAGAGATGTAAGACCTACCTAATTCAGATCAGTTCAAAGGGATATGGTTTTAGTGTTCAATTCCACAGGAATCTGTGTTACAGTAGTTCTTGATTACATAGGCATGAAAGCTACCTTCCTTTTTTTCCCATACTGTCCTTTCTCTAGGGGGGCTTCCACGTACTCCGGTCAGACAGAAGATGAATACCATGTGCCGGTCCTTAAAGATGTTGAATGTTGCAAGGCTCAACGTGAAGGCTCAGAAGTTGCAGCCAGATGGCAGTCCAGATGGAGCTCAGGAGAAAGGGATCCAAAAGACAGCTGGCGGAAGGACAGCAGAAAAGTCGGAAGACAAAGGAAGAACATTAAGAAGTTCTAAAGCTAAAGGTATTCCTCCATTATATAAGCATGCTATGGCGAATACAGTAAATAATAAGGCTTTGACTTATTCTTAGGTTTATGATCCTGCCGCAAAGATGGACCGAATGCCACGGGAGAGTCAAGAGTCTAAAACAATATACATGCTCATCTAGGGGGAAAGGGGAAGTCAGTCTGAATCAGGACCAGGCTGAGGAGGCTTCAGGTTAACCAGTGGAGACAATACCTAGACTCTGAAGAATGCGCCAAGTTTGCAAAAAGGATGTTTCTGGTGGGGATTAACATAAGTAAAGTCACAATGAAGAAGGACCATGGTCACAGGACTAGCAGTTAAAGAAGTTGTACATATGGGAGGGGATAAGAGTAGGAAAATATCCATGAGTTAACCAAGGCTAGGTTATCGAGGTCTTTCCAGGTTGGACAGCTGAGTTTAGTTCAATAGCGTTTTTGTTGTTGTTAGTTTAGTAGCTTTTATTTTCCTCTTCTTTTTAAAAATAAGTTGAAGTAGGGTATGTTTCTTATTGTCAGGATACATTTGTAACTCAACAGTGCCAGTGCCAGTTCTCTGGGATGACTGTGACACTGGGTTATGAACTTCAGGCAATAATTACATAATATTACTCAGGAATTCTTTTGGAAATTCTAGAATGAAAGTTTTCTGCTGCCATAAAAATTCCCCTCCCCCGCCCCCCCCCCCCCGAAAATAAAACTCTAGGTCCATAGATGCTAGTCACTTTGAGTGAGACAGAAAATCTTTAATGTGCTAGTAAAGGAAGGTGAGAACCTGAGTGATACATTCAAGAGGCAGCAGACAATATGGTACTAATGTCATTTCCATCCTGTCCAGAAACATACCGGGAAAACAATAGCAAATAGATTTTTGACAGAGGTGCCACAGTAAGCCAGTGGAACAAGAAATGGTGCTGGAACAACCACATAACCCGTCTGAAGAAAAGGAACCTTAATCTTAATTCCTAATAGTATTTTAAATTTCTACTCTATCGTTTTCAGTTCTATTATTATTTATTTGTTTTCGCTCTTAAAAATTGCTCAGTCTTGCAATATAGGTTTCTGAATTGTATTTGACTTTTTAAACAAACCTTTTGCTTCTGTTAATCTGAATTTTTCTCTGACTTCTGTTTAATTCATTTTGGCCCTTTATTGCTACCTTCTTTTAGTGTTTGGATTTACTCTTTTGTTACACTTCTTTTGTTGTTGTTATTGTTAAACTGTTATACTTACTGTGTTGGATGCTAGTCTAATTAGTTTTTCATTTTTCTTCTTTCCCCAAATCGTCATTTAAGTCTCTAAATTTCTCCTTAAATATAGATTTAGCTGAATAATGCAAAATTGCTATTTTCTATTTTCATTAATACTCCAAAGTATTTTCTAATGCCCATAACATGCCCCAGACCAAACCCGTTCCTGTTGACTCATGGTAGCCTATAGAACAGCAGGGTTGACCCCCTTGGGTTTCCAAGACTGTAATTAGGACTGAAGCCGACTGCCACGTTGTTCTAGTAATTTGAACCAATGACCACCGTCTTTGCAACCATGGTTTCTCAACCGGGCACTGTTGATGTTTGGACACGGGTAAATGTTATCGGGGACTTTCCTGTGTGATGTAGGATGCTTAGTAGTAGCCTTGGCCTCTCCCTACTAGATGCCAAAAGTCATGATAATCAAGACATTGCCAGAAGTTCCCTAGACACCAACATCTCCCCAAGTTGACAGCTACTTGCTTTAACCATAATGAGAACTTATGCTGGATTTGACTTTCTTGTTACCCCACACCCCACCCCCCTGCAGATTTTAAAACTGAGGAAGAGCTACTATCTTACATACATGAAAATTACCAAAAGACTGTGGCCACTGGAGAAATTCCGTTGTATTCATGTGCTCAGAACCTGATCTCAACATTTAAAGCATTCTTAAAATCCCAAGGCACCAAGGAATTAGAAGTAAGGGCGTTGGGATGCTGTTGCTTGTGGTAGATGTGACGGGTGGTTGGTTGTTGCTGGGCTTGGTTTATATATCTTGGGAAAGGTCTATTGTGCAGGACATAGTTCAGAAGAAGTGAGGCGGACATCGAGGAGAGAGGATAATTACATATCCTTCTCTTGTAATGAAAGTGTCTCCTTGTTTGAGCTGGATGCTAACTGTAAGTATTAAACCAGTGGCTTTTACCCTGGCTACATTTTAGGATCACCTAGAACTTTTTTTAAAATGCTAATTACTGACCTTCTTGTAGCCCATAGATTTCCAAACTTATTTGACTTACTACCCCCCTTCAGGAGAAAAAATTACTCCATGCACCCCTGGCACTTAAAAGCTTGTGTACTATAGTCTGTATAATCCAGGATGAAGAGTAAGGGTTTGCTTTTGCAGCCCTCTGGAGCCTTGGTGGTGTGGTACATGCTAGGCTGTGGTCCACAAGGTCAGAAGTTCAAAACCACCCGCAGTTCTGAGGGAGAAAGGGCTTTCTGCTCTCGGTAAGAGTTAACAGTCTCAGAAACTTATAGGGGCAGTTCTCCCCTGCTCTATAGCGTTGCTACAAGTTGGAAATGACTTGGTGGTGGTGGTTTGGATTGTTCCCTGCCACCAGAGGGCGGTATCGTTTTCTAGGGGGTTGGGCTCTGAGTATCTGTACTTCTGAAAAACTTTTAAGATGATCCTTATGCACAGGGTATTGTGAGCCTCTGTTTTAGGACATGTGATTTTATTAATTTAAAATCTGGACTCTTCTATAATGAATCATTTATTCACTGCTATGGAGCAAATGCTGACTCATCACGGCCCCCAGTGGGATTCTGAGACTAACTCTTTCTGGGAGTAGAAATCCCATTCTTTCTCCAGAGGAGCTGCTGATGGTTTTGAACTGACGACCATGCAGATCACAGCCAATTTGTAACCACTATACCACCAGAGCTCTCCTTTATAATAAATAGTAGTTTTTATATTTGTTTAATTACTCACTTTTGCCATTAGTTCTCAAGTACTTATTTATCATGTTCTTTTTAAAGAATACAAAAGCAAATCCACTGTCGTTGAGTTGATTCTGACACATTGCGACGCTGCAGGATTTCCAAGGCTATAAATCTTGATGGGAACGTACAAACTATTAACCCTAACCTTATGGCTAACTGAAGTTGAGGTTGGCAGCCCAACAAAGAACCCGTTATGCCACCAGGGCACCTTTTTGTGTATTTGTTGGTATTTTTCTCAGAAGTGTGCCTGATGACGAATCATTTTACCCCAACAGAGACAACCAAAGATGGCCAACATGATCTTTTCTCTCAGTAGGATAATGGCAGTACTTCCACAACCAGAACATTGTCGTTTTCAGGCCCTTTTAAGAGCAGAATACTGATTTCACTATTTTTCATCCAAATGAAAGAAGGGGCAAATTTGTGAGAGTATTCACTTACCAAAAGAGAGTATTAGCTTTTAAAAGAAATGAAAGACTATGTTGTAGTTAGTGTCAAGTGCTGCCACATTATTCTGGGGCCAAGCAACTGAGGGAGTTGAACTGTCCCCTCTGGGCTTTTTGGGCTCTGTTTTCACAACAGCACATCTTAACGCCTTTCTCCTACAGAGCAGCCAGTTGAGTCTCAACTACCAATGTTGTGCCACTGGGGCTCCTTAAAAATAATGATTAAAAAATAACAAACTCACTGCCAATTCTAACTCATAACTACCCTATAGGACAGAGTAGAACTGCCCCCTGGGGTTTCCAAAATGGGAACCCTTAACAGGAGTAGAAAGCCAATTCTCTCCCGAGGAGCAGCTGGTGGATTCAAACTACTGACCTCGTGGTTAACAGTCCAAGGTGCAATTACTACACCATGAAGGATCCTAAAAATAATGTATTTAAGTAATAATCTTATAATAATATCGTAACTTAATAGTCTCCGATGGAATTAATAATTTTTTATATTTTAGATGAACTGCTTGAAGCAAATAAAAGATAACCTCTTAAAAACCAGTAAAGGTCTTCGGCAGAATCTAGGAAAGATACTGAATAAGGAAGTCAAAGTCAGGGAGTAAGTAACTTTTTAAAAATTTTAAACCATTGCTATAAAACAAAACTCCAACATTTGCATTTATCAATTTAAAGTAGACTGCCAATTGCTTGAAAGATGTTTGGGAATTTGTAGGCGCCCAAGGCATTTCTCTTTTGGTGATTTCTTATGTTGAGAAAAGAGCTGTTCATTTATGGGTGAGTATAGATATGACCAAGTGTTTCTTTCTCTAAAGGTGCCAGCTTCAAGTATTTCTTCGTTTGGAGCTGTGTCTACAGTGCCCTCTAATTCAAGAAAGTGCCGATGATATGGAACAAATAGTGGAGGAGGCAAGTCTACAGCTTAGTGAGAGTTCAATGCTTCTAGCTTCCCTGCAGAAGGGCCTGTGGTAATTCTCTGTCCTCTCCTGCAGGTGGCAGGTTTGTTGCGCATAGTGTCTTTAACTGAGGATTCCGCCTACCTAGCAGCGTTTCTGGAGGAAATTTTGGGATTGTAAGTTTGAGGGTTACGTTAAAATTATGTTACCAAGAGCTACATACTTATGCCACTGGCACTTGTGATTCTGGAATCACAAGGATGCTCTTCTGCTAGGTGAGGGCAGGAGGAGGTGGGGGAGGTCCCACACCTAACCCACCCAAAGGAACCCTGCCAGACAGAGTAGAACAGTCCTCTGGGTTTCGGACACTGTAACTCTTTCTCCCAAGGCTGGTGAGTTCAAACCAAGAGCCTGCAGTTAGCACCTCAGTGTGCAACCCACCAGGCCACCAGGGCTCCGGAGGGAGGGAGTAGAGGGGGAAAGATGACTTTCGGTGTTACATTTAACCGTTTTGTTTCACAGGTATACCGACTCTGTCCCAACGACACTGGGCGCTCTTTACGACAGCCTTGGGTTTCAGATTCCTCAGAAGCTGGCGAGTGCCCTTCCTTCAGACTTTTTCAGTGATGACTCCATGACACAGGAGAGCAAGTCACCAGGACGTTCTGTGCCTCGTTTACCGAGCACTCGTCAGTCAGTGCCACCAACTGGAGGAGCTGATTCCAACCAACTGGAGGAGCTTCGCACCAGGTCAGCCAAGAAGAGAAGGTAGGCACCAGAGGAACTGCTGTTAGTTCCAGAACTGCCAAAGAACATCGTTGACCATGGTCCATTGGTCCTTGTCCTTATCATTTATCGCGTGATAGTTGCCTGTGTGTCTGAAGCCCAAGGCAAGAATTCTAAGTGAACCAGTGCCCGTCTGGCACTCTATATCACACAGGGAACGTGCACTATTATTTTATAGCCCTTCTTGACGGTCAGGAACTGTGGGAGCCTTTTATGAAGTAAGCTTAGGGTTTCTGCTTAGTTTTGAATTTTCCTTGGTGCTTTCCACTATTCATAGCTAGTTGAATTGATAGCAGTTTCTTGAAGGTCTCGGATGAGGGAAGCAAGAAGGGCTATAAATCTAGGTCAACCAGCTTTTTCTTTTCTTTTTTTTTTAAGAACTCAGTTCCATTCTAATTTAACTATTTATAACATCTATCTAAATTTGTCTTTTTCTGCTTTGAAAAGAAAAAATGCATTAATCCGACATAAAAGCATCGCAGAAGGCTCACAGAATCTTCGACAGATTGAAGTCCCGAAAGTGTCCAAGAGAGCTGCAAAAAACGTGAGTTCTCTCTCGCCCTGAAGTTATTCATTCTGGCTCAAGGTGGCACAAGAGAGTGAAAGGGGGGAGTGTCTCCACTTTTAGGAAGTGGATATTTAAAGGTGCAGAAGTAAAAGTAAACATTTTCATGCGTGTAAAATTGTGATCCAAGAAATACAGAAATACAAACTTATTAAGGAATTAACTAAAACAGCAAGTAAATAAGAGGTGGAATGATCAAATGACTTTCCACTTGTTAAGGTAGATCGAAAAATTCAGAAAAGTAATTAGCATAGGCAAAGAGGTCACTGAAGTTAGAATGTATAAACGTAGCAGGACTTTGGTTGTACACTGAAAAGCACTTTGCAGAATGTGTGCTTGAACAACGAAAAGACTGTCTAAAAATTGGGGAGTCGTTGCTTTTCTATTTATAAGAATTTGAAAGTTTTGTTGGTTACCAAAGAATTCCCAACTGGAAGCTATTTACTAAGCGGAATTAATGCCTTGCTAAGGAAAGAAGAGAAACTAAGAATGCTTTCACACTTTTTAACTGCCCAAATCAATAATCGCAATTCTTCTGAGGCAGTAATTCACTCACTCACTCCCTCGCTGCCATCAAGTTAATGCCGAACACCACCGCCACCCCTGCGTCTGTAACTGTTTATGGGAGTAAAAAGCCCAGTCTTTCTCCCGCAAAGCTGCTGGTGGTTTCGAACTGCCCACCACAGCAGATCACAGCCCAACCCATGACCACTGCACTACCAGGGCTCCTGAGATAGTCACAGTAATATTTGAGAAGTTAAAATGAAGTGGGGGGAGTGGTTTGCTCTATTTCTAGGTACCTATGGCTGTCCTTTGGACTTGAAGGTGGGATTTCTTTTAGAGTTAGTTATGTTCTCTTTAATAGACTTTAACAGTAAATAAGACACAGACCTTAATCCTGAATGGCGAGAGTGAATCCAAAAGTAGATAGTCATTGTTTCACCTCCTTTCTCACCAGGTTTACAATGACTTACTGCCCTTTCTTGTACTACTCTACGGACCTTTTCTTATAGACTGGCCAACTCAATTTTTATTAAAAAGCAATGTTTTCTCATGTCAAAATTAGTTGTACCACAGATATGTGACAGTTGTTTAATATAAAAGACTAGGTGTTGAGACTAAATCAGAGTGCTTTGAAGAATCAGTATAATTACAGTTAACACTATAGGGTTTGCATTGGCTGCTTTTTAAAAGTAGATTTTCAGCACCTCTCTTCTTAAGCCACCGTAGTCCAAACGTCGCCCTGGTTGCGCTGAAACGTGTTAAGCAGCACAGCAGCAACATGCAAGTATCCAGACAGATGGTGACTGCACCTGAGATGCAGTTGTTGGGAATTGATCCGGGTCTCTTGCATCAAAGGAAAGAATTCTACTACTGATGGGTTTTCCCTTGTTCTTTAATTGTAAAAGATATTAAAAATCATGTAAAAGTTGAAAACATATAAAGTTAAAAGCTAGTGTGACTCCACCCACTTTTCTAAAGTAATCCTTAAGAACAGTTTATATATTGTGTATCTTCACACACCTTTTTCTGTATACGCCAATATGTGTAAGGGTGTGTACACCTCTCCTGCACGCACATGGGATTAGTAAAGAACCCCTAAAAATTAGGTATCAACAAAGAAAGATGCCTATGATGTAGAAAATTGCAGACTAAATATAGTAGGTTAATCATCTTTTAGTTAAAATTAAACCCTGTATGCATTCAAGAGTAACAAAAAATATTGTAATGAATATGAATGGGTTCTTCTCAGCAAAACAAGTTTAAACATGTGTTTGTAGGCAGTGGGGTGGCCACAGACAAGTTCTTTCAGTAATATACCACATATGCTTGTGTATAAGCCGAGGTTTTCACATTTTTATGCAGGTTTTTTTTTTGTAAAATTAGGTGCCTTGGCTGATATTCGGGCCGGCTTATACTAGAGTATATATGGTACTCGTTAAGAGTGCCTTCAGAAAGGTTCATTCAAGACGGTGGCTTCCAAAGGTAACTGCTGGGCCAGGTAAATGGGAGACAAAGAGGTTGGCTCAGAAGCTTATGACAATTGGGCATTTGAAAAGGGTGCCCTTGATGGATTTTTTTCTCAAAGGACACAGGATGGTCACAGGGGCTTTTTATGAAGAACTTTTCAGAAAAATGAAAGCCACATTGGTAAGGGAAAGCATGGTAAATTGCTAGAGGACACCCACGCATAACAGTGCACCGACAGATTCTGTAAGGGAATTGTATAAGGAAACTATATCTTATCCACTCTGTAGCCTTGATGTTGCCCCTTCAAACATCTTTTTGTTCCCAAATCTCAAAAGAATATTTAAGAGGAATGTGATTTGAGGTCCCCAAGGTGCAAGAATTACTCTTGACAGAATTTATAGATCAAGAGAATTCTTTAGAGAAGGGTTAGAAAGCTGGAAACGCTGCCTTCAGACAGACCTAGATATAAGATACGCAGAGAAACGGTAGTTTCACATTTGGTGCTTTTGTTTAATAAAAGTTTGTGAGTGGGTCCCAAAACTTTTTTCTTTATTGTTGTAGATTAGGTGAAGATTTACAGAGCACATCCTCATTTTTTTTTTTTTTACTTACCCAGTTTTCCTTGTTCTTTTAATGCCTGCATCAGATGTGTATCAATTTATTAATTGCTTCAATTTTGGGGGGCATATAGGATTTTATTTTATATCTTTAGAGCAGTACAGCAACGGATATTGTATCCTTGCAAGCTGTTTGGTTTTGCGCATTTTACAACCACTTCTATTGTCGGTCCCTACAAGTAGAGCTGCAAAGGTGAAAGGGCTTCATTTCAGGGTTCTCTGTTCATTTTATTTTAAATAGATGCTTTTAGGTTTTTTTCTTACTGAATATTCCTCATTTTCCAGAACTCTCACTGTACTCTGCAGCAGCCTCCACTCTCAGTGAAGGAAACCGTACAAGGTATTTGTTTACTCAGGGTACATACTTGCCATATGATAAGCTTAATTATGGGTGCATGCATTTAAGCCTATGCAGACAGCTGTAAATTAGGATTTTGTGTAACTGTTGGTTAATAAAACATGTCCAAATATAAAGCCCAATGAAAACGGTTTTCATATAACCTCAAAGTATTGCATTCTACAAAATAATTGACCTGAGATCTTAATAGATCAAGTCCTGAAATACAAAAAAGATAGGGACTATTTTACATGAAAGGTGTTTAAGAAGGGTAACTTTTATGCAAAAGGTATTTAGTATATTGTGTGATCCTTGCCTGGATTCTAAATTTGGGGGTGGGGAAGTTATAAAGGATATTTCAGGACAGCTAGAGAAATTTAAATAGATGTTTTATGTCAATGATACTATATCGATGTTAGGTGTATGATAATGCTTTTTCTATAATAATGACATTGTGGTGGTTCAAAGAGAGAACCTAAAGTACAGGGAAGGGTCCTGATGTTCGCAACGTACTCACACTGGTTGGTGGTGTATGTGTGTAAAGAGTGGGGCAAACGCCAATAGTTCTGATGAAGGGTGTGTGTATATTGTATTTGAAATTTTCTTTAGATATTACATTATTTAAAAGTCGAGGGGAAGAAGAGAAAATAACAAATCAAATGTGGCATGCAGTTCATAAACTAATTTCCCAGACAGTCTACATCAGGTAACAAGTCTCTCATAAGGGAGATGAAAAACCTTTTTGAAACTTAAAGTTTCAAAGTTTGAAACTTTAGTACTGGCTCTTGCTGTTGTTTATATTTATGTTTGTATCGGTGAGAGGTGAATAGGTGTTCCTCCCTATGAGTTTTATTTAAATGAGTTGCTCAAAGAAAAATTTATCTTTGATCATGAAAGTTGACCTTGCGGGCAGCATGGTAGAATGCAAGGGCTACACCAGAAGGGCTTAACATAAGAGGCCCCGCTGAATGAACTGAACCCTGCCTCGAAGCTGCCTGAACCTTTATATTGAGGGCTGGGGTACTTGGATGGGAGAAGAAGCAGAGAGTGGCTACCTCAGGAATATGGAATTGGCTGTAATTGGACTTGGGGGAACTGATGGCTGGGTGGGTATCCAATGGAAAGAGACCCAGGATCACCATACAGGTAGTACCTCAATGGCCACCTTGGAGTAGCATGACAGGTTATGATCTGTTGAACAGGGATCTGCACTTGGAAGAATTGATCCAGGAAGGGCCCCTCCAGGCATCAATCCCCATATTTAGAGTCAACAGAGCCCAATCAAATGAGAGGTCAAACTGTGTAGGACAAAAACTCGGGCTTGCAGCTCATGATGGCACTGCACTCGCTTAGACGCCTCATACCCAGAGTCTGGAGTGCTGGGGCATTGGGAACATTGATGATGATAAGAGTGCCATCGAATAATACCCAGGGGAGGTGATTGACAGTGCTGTACTTCTTTGTTTATATGGGTTTTTGCTTTCCTGCTGTACCTTTCTCTTTTTCGTGTGTGTGTGTGTGTGTGTGTGTGTGTGTGTGTGTGTGTGTGTGTGTGTTGTTTTTTGGTTACTGGTTGGCTTATTGCTGCAGTTAGTCTCATAGAGTTTTGATTTTGTCATATTATTACCGCCAAAGTAAACCTGAGATGTGCAAACCTCATGGACAAGCAGATGGAGTATGGGCTCTTCTGATAATATGGTCCTGCTAGATACTCACTAGACCCTAATTCAAGAACACTTCTGATAATATGGGCCTGCTAGATACTCACTTTCATGAAAAGATCATTGACGATAAGGATGCTACAGCAAAGTGTGGTGAAGAAAGTAGATGGTGCCCGGCTATCAATCAAAATCGTGTCTGGGAACTTAAAGGCCTGTATTCAAATAAGGACCATCTAGGTGAGGAATCAACAGAGTCCACATGGAAGAAGCACACCAGGTTGTGTGATCCAAAGATGACAATTAAAAAATTGAAATATGGCAAAGGAAAAATTATGAACACCCAATTTGTAGAAGGCTATGCACAGTGGGAGCCCAAAACCCATCTGCACAGTCTCTTGTCAGACTGAGCCTCTGGCAGATCCATTCTAACCAGACAAGAGTTTCAATCGGCCTTACTACCAGGCAGATACCATTGTAATCTTGATTATGCTGGATCGAACTCGATACTCAGCCAGTTGACCTCCCTGTAGACCCAGCCTGAATTGGTTCTGGGTGCAAGCATCTTTTATTCCATGACAAATATTTCCGCTGCTCTTTTGGATGTTGGCAGGGGTCTTATTTTTCTTACTCATTATTTGTATATTTGCCTTATGTTATTATTATTTAATCCTTACCACATTATTTTGATTTTGGCTTTTATTGTCTCTCTTGGGTTTCCCAGTTTGTGAAGCAGAAGAGGCGTGAATGCATAGTAACAATAACTGATACAAGGGTTGATGGGGGTGCGGGGGTGGGTGGTAGGGAGGGAAAGGGAATTTCAGGAATAAATAATGAAGGGGGGGCGGAGCTCCAGAACTGATTGTGAATGCACAACTCATTTTAAAAGCGAGTTAAGCATGGGGTGGTATTCTAAAATTGGTATGGTGATGATTGTACCATTCTCCTTAAGATGATTGAACTATTGAATTGTATGATATGTAAATTATGTGCCAATAAAACTCTTGTGGGGGGTTACCTTTAATGACCTTGAAGGTTGCCTCCCCATAGTCATGGTCAGATGCCATCCTGAAAACTGTCATCTTGCTCCCCTCTACAGCGTTGTTTCCTAACTTTGGTTCTGCCTAGATGATCTTAGAATTACTTTGATTTTGGCACTCAAAATAGAGTTTAAAATAACCCAAAAAACTCGTCAAATAATTCTAAGAGAAGGAATGAAATCTTGGGAATTGAAAGGAATGCATTCTGTACTGCAGAGTGAGCTGAAAACCAGGCAATCACAAAGTTTAAGGCAAGAAGAATCACCATAAAACTAGGATATGTTAAAAGGGCCATAAATGACCTACATTGACCAAGTAATTTAAGGAGGAAAATTATTAGTTTAAATAATATGAACTTGTGTGCCTGAAAAGTTGAGTTTAAATCAAGTTTGAAGAGGTAAAAAGTTTAAAGGAAAAAAAACCCACTGCCATCAAAATGATGGGGGTTTACACAAGCAGCTTGCTTCATCTTGGTCCCTTGCAGTTAGCTTACCTAGAACCACCACCAAAGCTCTCTAGACTGGTTTCGTTAAGCAGCTTCTGTTTCCTCCGGCCAGGCATTTGCTGATGAGAACTTTTATTTTTCCAGAAGTGACCAAAGTTCGAAGAAATCTCTTCAACCGGGAAATGCTGTCTCCTTCAAAGAAATCACTAAAGCGGGGGTTTCTTCGAAGCCATTCGTTGTCAGCTGTAGACGGTCTGGAGTATAAACCTGACAACTTCAAGAGAACAAAAGGTAGTACATTTTAGGGGAACCAGAGGAGATTCTTAGACCCAAACCAATCCTCTTTGCTGCAAAAATTTATTAAATCTCAGTCTGTTTTCTTCTCTGCTCTGAGCCTACCATCAGGTAATTTTACCCTTGGGTAAACTTTACCTCCTCCTCCAAGTCTGGAAACAGAATTAATCCTGGTCCCTCCCAGCTCCTACAGATTTGCACAGTGGTTACTGCTCATCTCTATAGGGAAATATTATATGAGGGGGTGTCACCCCCCAAAAAAACAATGTTTTTCAAAGCTATCTATTTAAATATTTCTACAAAATAGCCTTATCACCTTCAAAGTACTCTCCATCACACTTAAATACATTTGTCAAATCTGCGATTCCATTCTTTTTGTTTGTTTTTTAAAATAATTTATTGGAGGCTCATACAACTCTTATCACAATCCATACATCCATCCATTGTGTCAAGCACATTTGTACATATGTTGACATCATCATTCTCAAAACATTTGCTTTCTGCTTGAGCCCTTGGTCTCAGCTCCTCATTTTTTTCCTCCCTCTATGCTCCTCCCTCTCTCATGAACCCTTGATAATTTATAAATCATTATTATTATTTTGTCATATCTTACACTGTCTGACATCTCCCTTCACCCACTTTTCTGTTGTGGGTGATGTTAGATCCTTGTAATCTGTTCCCCCTTTCCACCCCACCCTCCCTCTACCCTCATGGAATCACAACTCTCAGCACTGGTCCTGAAGGGATCATCTGTCCTGGATTCCCTGTGTTTTCAGTTCCTATCTGTACCAGTGTACATCTTCAAACTTATTTGCTTGGATGGCTGACAGCACCTCCCTTGATTTTTTGTTGTTGTGTTGTTCACCTCTTCTATGTCATCAAATCTCTGCCCTTTCATGTCTTTTTTCATTCGAGGAAGCAAAAATAAGTGCATGGAGCAAGAGAGGCATGCTGTTTCCTGCCCCAAACTGGTACACTGAGATGGCTGTGTGAGCAGGTGCATTGTCATGGAGGCAAAACCAGTCCCTGCCACAAATGAGGCCCTTTTTTGTTGCACACTTACACAATCTTTTCAGAACCTCTAAATAGAAAGCTTGATTATCAGTCTGACCTGGTGGAACGAACTCCAAATGCACTTTGTGTCAACATTTTTGTCCGTTTGGGAAGTTGACAGATGTCTAGAATGAGTTTGTCATCAATTGACATTTCATCTTTTTTGAAATTAGAAAACCACTCGTACATTTGAGTTTTTTCCATAGTGCTGTCCTTGTAAGCTGTGTTCAACATCACAACAGTTTCTGTGGCATTTTTCCTGAGCAGGAAAGAAAATTTCAGAGTCGCACACTGTTCTCTTAAATCTGTCATCATAAAAAATGAGGTTTGAGTGAAATTGCTTTTACGAAAAATTGATTGTAACCAGAGAGAACCTTTCTATGCGACACCGCTGGGCACACAAGCTCAGAACGAGTTGCTCCGTGCTCGCCCAGTAGGGAAAGTGTGTATTACCAAAGCTCTACCCGACTCAGCGCAGTTCTGGTTTTTGGGGTACCCCCTTGTATACCAGATATTAGGGAAACATCTAGACAAATCAATATTATAAGACAGACTTCCCATGGTCTTTTAAGTTGTTTCACTGGAAGGCAGCCCTTCTACCCAGGCAGAACATCTCCAGTGATCCTTTTAACTCGGGAACCTCCGGACTGACCTTTATCCTGCAGGAGGTGTCTCCTAGACCTCTGTGTTAGTCCAGGTTGACTAGAGAACAAATCCAGAGATACTCATATGTGTAAGAACTTTATATCAAGAAGTAATTACGCATCAGTAAAACATCCCAGTCCAGGTCAAGTACATAAGTTTGATATTTGCCCATAAGTCTGATATTAGCCCATGAATTCCTTTTGAGACTCACACAGCCCTTGCAATGATGCTGAATACAGAAATATCATTGGCTGGTGGGTAGAAAGTCGTGGATCCAATGGCAGTGGATGCATCTCCAGGGCTCTGGCTGCCATCAGCGTGCCTCTCTGTGGCTTGTCAACAGGAAAGTGAAGCAGATAGAGAGTGTGCCCCGCCTCCAGGAAGGAAGAGAGTCAATGACCTGATTGGCAGGCTAGACTCCACCCCTTCATTTTTTTTATCAAGTTGACACGAAATCTTGTAACTACCACAAACCCTCATCTCCTGATGAGGCAGGCTGGGGCAGCTGGACCTTCTAGAAAGCTTGTAATTACATCATTTTTGTTTTCTTCTGCAATTTCAGTTAGCAATTTGAGTGAGATGGAATACATATTTCTTAAATGAACACATTGGAAAATGGAAACTATCATGTCATAATACGGATAAAACCATTTAGTCTAGCTGTCTACTGTATGTTGGGGACAATACCAGATGGTGAAGGTATCGAGAGTATTAAGATACAGTCCTCTCTTACAGGAATTTGCCATTTAAAGCAGACAAGACTTGTTTGGGAAAAAAAATAATATGAAGCTTAAAAAACTCAATACACATGGGAGAGGGGGAGGTGGGGGAAACCCAGGGACAAGGGAACAAGTGATCCAAAATCAGTGATGAGGAGGATGTAAGATGCCCAGTAGGGCTTGATCAAGGGCATTGTAACCAAGAAGAATTACTGAAACCCAAATAAAGGCTGAGCATGATAGTGGGACAAGTGAAAGGAAATAGAGGAAAGAACTAGGAGGCAAAGGCCATTTAGAGAGGGCTAAATACAGGCATGTACACATGTATATATATTTATATATGATGATGGGGAAATAGATCTATGTGCATATATTTATA